TAGAGACGAGGTCTCGCTGCCAGACGGGTCTCGAACCCGCGGGCTCAGGCAATCCACTCACTCAGCCTCCCAAAGGCGCGGGATTACAGGCTGAGCCACCGAGCCTGGCTTGTCTACAGCCTTTTAATGGCTTCCCATTGTTCCTGGTGTGGAGACTGAGATCCTTAGTAAGACCCACAAAGCCTTTTGTAGTGTGGCCCCTGTTCTCTCTAGCTCCATCTTTCTGCTTGTGCTCTAGGCTCACTGTTTTTGTTTTTGTCCCTCCTGCAGGGCCTTAGCTCATGCCATTGCTTTTGTCTGTGCTAAGCTTTTTCCTTCCTATTTTGAATAGTGAACTCTTAGCTGTTGTTAATTCAGGCGTTTCTTTCTCAGGGGTCAAGTCTCCTCAGTATGTGCTTTCCCAGCACCATATATTTCCATCTTTAACATTTTGTATTATAGTTATAATTTAACACATGTATCTTCATTATGATCTGGCTGATGTCTGTCTTTTCTACTATACTTTTAGCTCCATGAAGGTAGAAACTATTTCCATTTTTTCTTGTGAATGTATACTGGCTGTTACTTCAGTACCTGGCATATATGACAGGGGACCCCAGAAAAACCCTGGAATTATTTTTTGGACCCATTGTAGTGCAGGGTTCCCCTGCTAGGTAAGTGTTCTAGGAACCCAGTGGGCATCTGTGTACCAGCCAGTGTTGAGAAGCATTCTCAATTAATTTTGGGGGGGGAGATTCTTTCAACGCGTTTGCCCATTTCATGATGGGTGATTTACGAGCACACCTGCCCACACCGTGCTGAGTGTTCAGCAGGTTTTGACCCAAAACGACATAACCCCTGTGCCCCACCCTCCTTGTTCACCCAACCTCTCTGAGTGACTTCTTTTTGTTTCCCTGGATGAAAAAAGTCCTCAAAGGGAAATATTTTGCTGATGTGGAAGAGGTGAAACACAAAATGACAGAAGCACTAAAAGGCATCAAAATTGATGAGTTCAAAAACTGTTTTGAGCAGTGGAAAAAGCATCTCAATGGGGGTATTTCATCAAATGGAGAGCACTTTGAAGGTGACTGAAATTTAAACAAGCAAGAATAAATAAAATTTTTTTTTTTTTTTTTTACAAATTCTGGGTTTTTGGGGGTCTCCCTGGTAGCTGTTGTTCAGCAACTACTTTGTTATAAATGAATGAACTTTGTTTCCATGAGTATGTACTGTTCTGCTTTGCTGCTCTGTTTCCTTTGTAGGTCAGAGTTGATGTCCACTTCTGTGGAGTTAACTTTGCTGATACCTTGGTCTGCCGTGGTCAATATCAGGAAAAGCCCCCTCTTCCCTTCACACCTGGTGAGTATGGGAAGACCCAATGACAGCTTCAGGAAGAGAAGATACAGAGAGTTTACAGAACCACGTGCTTCATCTCAGCTCTGCTTTGGTGGTGTTTGCCTGCATCTGTTGGACACGCCAGTCTCACATAGTTAATTAGAATCACTGGATTATGAGCCTTGTGAGGGCCAGCTCTACACCTGCCTTGCTCAATATCATGTCCCCCAGCTTAGCATTATGCCTGGCTCACAGTGGATGCTCAGTAAATACTTAAAAAATTAATAAATGAACAAGCGAATTTGCATACATCATGTTCCCCAGAATCATCATTGGCCCTAGTCATTCCCTTGCCTTTCCTGGTAGTCCTTTGATTTTGTTTCTTCACTGAAGGATTGCAGACATCTGTTTGCAGCTAAAACCTTCAGCCACACAAACACACTCCCAAAGAAACCTAATGCCAAGGATCAGAGAGAAGAAAACTAGTGTATACATTTCTCAGCAGCCCAGTGTCTGATTTTCATTACACCTAATCTGATTACCTTTAGATATGAATATGTGGACAAAACCTGATTTTTTTTTTTTTTTTTTTTTAGTTAGAGTGTCTCTCTGTCGCCCAGACTGGAGTACAGTGGCGTGATTATATCATACCATAGGCCTAACCTCCTGAGCTTAGACAATTGTTCTGCTTCAGCTTCCTGAGTAGCTGGGAATTTGGGTGTGCCACCATTACCTGGCTAATTTTTAAAAAATATTTTTGTAGAGACGAGGTCTTGCTATTTTGCCTAGGCTGGCCTTGAACTCCTGGGCTCAAGCAATTCTCCTGCCTTGGCCTCCCAAAGTGCTGGGATTACAGGTGTGAGCCACCATGCCTGACCAAAGACTGATTTTTGTTGTTGAAATTTATTTAAAGAGATGAAAATATAACTTAGCATGTGTACAGTATACACATATTTTATGCATATATAATATTAAGGATACAGTGATTGCAAAATAGTTTCAGTACTTGGTTGTGTCTCAACAGTTAGAACCATTTCCTTCTGTTTTTATTTGCTGAAATATGGGTGGGGGAAAGAGGTCATATTCAACTGTGATTCCCTGGCAACTCAAGTAGGAGAGATCTGATCATTAAATTCAGAAACTTTGGAGGGGAAAGAGGAACATCAACTCATCCAGTTGAGCCATGTACTGTCTATACAAATCATGTCGTTGAGAGCCTGAGTCCAGCCGAGGAGACGTGGAAAAAGATAAACACAGCATGGTGGACACTGTAGTTGGGTTTCCACAGTGCTCAGGAACCTAGGGATCAGGGTCAGAAGGACCACTCGCTGCACCTGTGTCTCTCAGTGCTTTTATGCGTTCTTGAAATTTTCACTTGTGCCATGGTGAGAATGAGACTGCTATAGCTTTTCAGGTTGTGATCATGAACTCTTATGTTTGCCTTCCTGTGCTCTGCATAGCACTCTTGCCGCTCCGCCTGGGGATGGGTGAGGGAGGGACCCCGAAACCTTCAGCTCCAAAAAACCTTTGGATCTGGGTTTTCTCATCTCTATGGTGTTGGAGTTTAGAGATAACCTAATTTTTAAACAATGTGTTTTAGGAATAGAGTTTTCTGGGACCGTATTGGAGACAGGCACAGATGTCAGCACAGTGAAAGAGGTAAATTTGTTCAAATCTAGGGAATCAATGTACATGTAGCCACAAGAAATGTGCTATCCTCATTTGTAGCCGGAGGGTCTTGCTTCTACTGGCTTTTGCCTACACACACCAGAGGGAAACCCAGATAGAAGGGGAACAAACAAATTCTGAATTGGGGAAAGTCGGTGGAGGTTCCTGGCTTCATTAAGCTTTTTATAAGGAATAAAAGGCGGTGCCTCGGTCTTTAGTTACTGAGAGGAGAGAAACTTCTCAAGTTTGAGTCTCTTGTGAAAGGAATTAACATTAAGATTCTAACTCACCTCAGCCTTTCCCTTACTCTGTCCATCATTGTCTAAATTGTGCTCAGATCGGCTTGGGAACCTAGTGGTGGTATTGAGAGAATTGCTGTTTTATTTACAGACATTAAGGCTGAATAGATGATTAAGGCCAATGCATGTCTTATGGGACTGAAATGTGCATTTTTGGTCTTTCTTTGGATGAATTCTGGGAAAGTTAGATGAAAGACCATGCATTTGAACATGTCCTTGATGCAATTTTCCCCTCAGGGCGCTAGAGTTATTGGCGTGACTGACTTTAATGGTATGGCTGAAGAGTGCATCACTGACCAGAAGGTACCACTACCGCTCAAGAGTCATGCCTGAAGGTTTTTTTGTTTTGTATTTTTTCCTCTTCTGTTTTCTTTAAATTTTCACCCATCCCTCATTTTCACTTCCCCTTCTTTTTCTTTGTATTTGTTTGGTCATATCTTGTTTCTCAGCCAAGCACTTCATTTTTTTCCCCAAATGCTAACCCTCTTCTCTCTATTAGCGTGACAACCTTTGCACAGAGCTTTGTTTGTGTTTAATATTTTAATGAAGGACATTTTGTTTTCTTAGTCCCGGGACTGGCTGTCCAATTGGACTAGTTAGGTAGTTTTGTTAGAAGAGCTGGTTTGGGGCATTGAGCTGGATGTAATGGGCTTCCTCTCTCCCCCTACCCCACAAAGCTTCTGGAAAAGAGAACCTGGGAACAGAGACAGCCAGGGTAGACTGGTGTGGTTGTGCGGGATGTGAATGGTGCCCCCTGGTGGTATGCATTACACAATTTTTCTCCATAGCTTTTAAAAAAAATTTTTTTTTTTGAGTCAGAGTCACTTTGTCTCCTAGGCTGGAGTGCAATGACATACCCAAGGCTACTGCAGCATCGGCCTGCTGAGCGCAGGTGACCCTTTCTACCTCAGCCTTCTGAGCAGCTGGAACTTCAGACATATGCCACCATACCTGGCTAATTTTTTTGATTTATTGTAGAGATGAGGTCTCACAAGTTGCCCAGGCTGGTCTCAACCCCCTGGGCTCAGGCAGTCCTCTCACCTTTACCTCCCAAATTTCTGGGATTGCAGGTGTGAGCCACCGTGCCTGGCCTCTGCAGCTTTTTTTGAGGTAAAGTTCACATGCCTTCCCATTCACCTGTTACAGTATAGTGACCTGTGTTCCATTCTCCCTCTGCTGGCTCCTTCCTGAGCTAGATGCCAGCCTTGGGGTTTTGAGGTCTGAACACAGCCACACCTTGCTTGGTCTTGACTTCACTGGACTTGGTTATGAGCGTGTGTTTCACTTGGCAAATCAGTTACTCAATCAAATCATAATATTTACTGAGCAACCTTTATGACCAGATACATGTGCTTAATCTGTAAGTCACTACTATTTCTTTTTATAGCACCTGTGGCAGATTCCAGAAAAGGTCTCCCTACAAGAAGCTGCTACCCTACCTATAGCTTATGGCACTGCTATTTTGGCTCTACAGCAGCGGGCCCGTACCCAGCCTGGGTAAGGAATGTGTACACAACAGAGGGCTAGATGTTATCCTTCTTGAGGTCATAAGTGCCCAATGAGGCCTTGCTTCCACCTCTTTCCTTCTCTTCAACTCATGTCCATTTTGGCTGAGGATTGGCCAAAGAGAGGGGGACACTTGGAATTGGGGTCTTAGTGATGGTAGGAGCATCCTTTTGTCCCAGAGGAAATGATAGACTGAACTTGTCTGGTATGAAAAAATAATCTCTCTCAAACCTGACCACTCTGTAGATACCTTATGAAAACCTTAAAGTCTAGAGAGAGGTGGTTTTATGAAACTCATTTTACTCTGTGTTTAATGAATGCCTGTGGTATTCGCTTCTGTGAGGCCTTGTTGGATGTGCCAAGTAGGGTGTTTTAAACTCAAAGTGCTGAAGTTTTCCTTTTTGCTTGAAGCATACATACCATCTCTTGATCTTTTCAGAAAGCTGAGCCTCAGAATTGCTCCAGAGAGGTCCAGAGAGGTGGGTTTAGTTGAGTGGCCGTTGCATGATCACCATCTTCTAAAATTGGGCAGTGTTAGCATGAGAAGGATCTTAAGACAAAATTCCTCAAGAATGAATTGGAGTGGTAGCTCAAGGGAAGGGTTGCCACTGACATAAGGGAGGGGCCACCTAGAGAGAGTTAGTCATCTTTTTCCTGGGAAGCCTTCACAACTGAACCAAACGAGCACTGATCTAGAAGTCACACCCATAACCCACCCCTAAAGGCTGGAGAACAGATGTATATGAAGGTTTACATGAAATGACTGACATTTGCACTTGAAAATATCCTGGTTCAACCATTTCTGTGGAATCATGTTGCTGGATGACTTTTAAAGGTTTCTGGAGTAACATCCATCTATCTTCCTCTGGCACAGAGAAACTGTTTTAGTGACGGCAGCAGCTGGAGCCACAGGCCTTGCTGTGATCGATGTGGCAACAAATGTTCTTCAGGCCAAGGTATTTGCACGTTAGAGTCTCCACTTAAAAAAATCATAACTCCAACTTTCAAACATGGAATGTATTCACTCACTGATGAAAAATCATGCGAAAGGCACTGGAGTATCAAGTGACCCAGAGCAGGTTGCTGCCATGTATTTGCTTATAGACTAGCTAAGGGGGCTGGAAAGTAAATTGTTCAACCTTCCAGTTACTAGACCCAGACATGCTCTGGCTCACTTCATGGCTTCTGCAGATGCTGTTTTCTCTACCTGTAATTCTCTGAGCTGTCTCCCTGTGCTTAGATGGAAACTCAGATGTCACTTTTTCAGAGAAATATTCCCTGTCCCTCAGGCCAAGTCCCCTCCCCTTACTATGTCTTTATGATTTTGTAGCACCATCTACTTCTCTGTCTTAGTATGCATCTCAGTGTGTGGTTAACCCGCTACTTGTATCATTATTAGGTTAATGTCTCCCTCTTACTGGACCATAATCCTCATAAAGGCAGGGATGGCATCTGTCTAGTTCATTACTGTTGTCCTGGCACTCGGCATGGTGCCTAGAACATAGTAGGCATTGGAGAACTATTTCTTTGAATGATGAGTGTTTAAAATAATGAAAGAAGTATCTCTATGGGGACATCTCTCTGAGGCTGTGTGTTCAGAAAAGGAGGAATTCTTGGAGAAGGTGGACACTTAAGGGGAAGGCCTGGTAGCAGTTGAATAGAAGTGGAAGGGACGAGAAAGCTATTTTAGTGGTGGGAGGACATATTAGAGGCTGGAGAAATGGGAACTAGCGCGGTGCCTTCAGGGAATTGCAAGCAGCATCTCTGGAGCCAAGGACCTGCGGGGAAATGGTGGAAGATGAGTCCAGAGAGGTGGACAGAGATCAGACCTTGAGAGACCTTGTGTGGGGCTGAATAATTGGAAAATTTATTGGAAGCTATTAGGAGCTGTTGAGGATTTAAAGTATGAAAGTGATATGCTCGTCTTTGCACTCTGAAAAGTTCACTTTGGTGACCATGGGGTGGAGGGGCAGGGGCGAGGTCAGAGGTAGCCTGGAAGTATTAGGACAGGCTTTAGGAACAAGCCAGGCCAGAGAGGTGGGTACCTGACCCACGGCAGTGGAGGGGTGCATTGAGAGATACCATAGTAGAAACAAAAACAAAACAGAACTTGGTGACTGGAGAATATCCCGTTATAGTGAAAGGAGCAAGGACTTCATAGTTATGACGCAGGCTCAGATTCCAGCTCTGTTTCCAGTTTTCTCATTTGAAACAAGGTGCCTTCTTCATGAAGTTTTGAGAATTCTAAGGTTACATGTGAATGCCTGTGAGGAGGCGTGGCATGGCAGTAAGAATCTCCCCCAAAAAGAATCTTCTTATTATTAGACATTGAGTGGGAAGGAGCGAACTAAATTAACTTGTGCGGTTGCCATTTACCGAGACTGAGAGCACAGGAAGGAATGGTGAACTCCGTTTTGGACATGTTGGGTGCTATGGAGCATGAAACTGGAGTATCCAGAAGGCAACTGGATGTATGGTTTGGGAGATAATTGGATTGTTCTGGAATTTCCGTAGGTGGCATCTCTCCTTTCTTCTCCTAAGTTCTTTTTGGGAAGGACCTGTGAGTTTTGAAAGCAATCTTACATACCAGGAGGCTCCTCAAGTGATATGAACATTTTGTTTTCTTTTTTTTGAGTCAAGGTCTCACTGTGTTACCCAGGCTGAAGTGCAGTGGCACAATTATGACTCACTGCCCCTCAGCCTCCTGGGCTCAGGTGATCCCTCCACCTCAGCCTCTGGAATAACTGGGCCTACAGTTGCATGCCACCATGCCCAGATAATTTTTTGGTTTTTTTGTAGAGATGAGGTCTCGCTATGTTGCCTAGACTGGTCTCAAGCAATCCTTCTATCTAGGTCTCCCAAAGTGCCGGAATTACAGGTGTGAGCCACCGTGCTTGGTCTGATATGAACACATTTCATGTTAAAAAGATGGACTTTTAGGTCCTCTTTGGGGGAGAGACCATAACTGTTTTCATTGTCTAGAGCCATTGACTGTCTAATGTTTCTAGAAAGATAAAAATTGTACCATTTGTTTTAAATGTTTTAAGTGGTTAGAAAAATTCAGTCCAATTCATATACTAAAATTAATCTAAGCAGTATTTTCTTTAGGAAGAATAATGGTTTGAAACAAAAGCAAACAAAAATAAAAATAGTGTTACCATGCCTCCTGCTTGGAACAGGTCGTTTGGATAACACCTTCCTTCCACACTATTTCATATTGCTTCCAAGTGCCTTCTCAGCAATTATCTTACCCTTGTTCCTCACAAAACCCTCAGGAGATGGAGGTGTTATCATCCCTATTTCATAGATCAAGAAAGTGAGGCAGTGAGAGAGAAAATGCTTCACTGCAGGTCTCACAGAGACCTAGTGAGAATCTTGGGATTCCAGCTGGCTGCCCGACCCTGGTCCACGTGTGCCTCATGAGGCATCGTGTGCTAATAGACCTTAGTGAACAGCTATTCGAGGGTTCTACCAGGGAGTCTCTGAGGGCACTGCTCAGTTTCAAATACTCTGAGTGAGTTTGGAATCTCTTATGGGCACTGATGTTCTTGGAGAGTTTGATTGCAAATTCTGAGCATCACTTTGGGGCCAAAGTGCTTGGGCTGGTGGGTGCTGCCTGGTGATGAGACATCTCTAGGCAGTGCTTGAGTATTTGCAGCTTTTCTGGAGGTTTCCAAATCCAAACTTCCTCCAGGATGGCTCACAGCCATCTCTGCCACCTGTGTGGGGCCTTAGGCAGGGTTTTCTCTTTGGGTGATGGAGTGAAGAGCATGGGCTTTGTGGGAAGGCAGCAGTGGGTTTGAATAGTTGTTCTAACACCTGCTACCTCGATTCCTCTGGGTTAATTGCTTAGCCTGTCGGAATCTACGTCTCTGTTGTATTTGTAGAGTGGGAGTAACTAGACCTTCCCATAATATTCAGGAATAAATGATTGTATACATGTATCAATAGCTTCAATTTATCTAACATTTTATTTTCCAAGTGTTTTATATACAATGTTCCATTTAATTTTTAAAGTTTCTTATTTTGCTGTTGAAGTAATTGAAACCCAGAGAAGCTGGCAGGTAGAAGAAAGGTTAAAAGCTTGCATTCTGGAGATGAATGACCTGGGTCTGGTCCCGCTCTGCCTCCCATTGACTCTGTGACCTTCCTTGATCAAGTTACCTAATTTCTTCTGCCTCAGTTTCTTCATCTGTAAAATGAGGATGACAATAGTGTATATTTCAACAGGCCATTATGATTAAATGAGTTATTAATACCTGTAAAACTTTTAGAATGATGCTTGGCAAATAGTAACATAGCATGTTAGTTCTTACTAAGTAATTTGCCTTGGGTAACAGCTAGTGAGTGGCAAAGCCAGGGTTTGAATTAAGGTCTGTCTGACTTCAAGATCTCTCTACTGAATCATGTCTTACCCTCTGGGAGCCTTCTCTGATCTTCTAGATCTAGACTAGGCACCTCTTGTTTATACTGCCAGATCCCTCTGTATTTCCCCCATTCCTCTGCCATATCTTACTTTCTTGACTCTAAGCTTGGTATCTAGCTTGTATCCTTACTACTGGGCTCATAGTAGGTGTTCAATAAATGGTGGTTTTTGCTTGCATTTGGAGGAGACTTTCTGAATGTCTCTTGGGGCTCCAGGATTCCTAGAAATGTGGACCTCATGGCTAGTGGGGTGCGGAGGGGCAAGTGGGGCAGGGAGGGGCCAGTGAGATGGTCTCTGTGTTGGGCCTGACATGTGGACTTGAGTGGATGTCAGGGCGGCAAGGTCACATTGGTTTCCTGGAGTAGCACCTTTGGCTGGAGGCAGGCAGGTGGGGAGTCCCCCTTTCAGGCATGTTCTGGACTGTCAGAAACCTTGTGCTTTTTGTGCAGGTAATAGCTGTTGCTGGAAGTGATGAGAAGTGCAAACTGGCCATGCAGAGAGGTGCACAGGCCAGCATCAACTACAGTCACGGCAGCCTGAAGGAGGCAGTGAGGAGCCTGATGGACGGAGGCGGGGTGGACGTGGCCATCGACATGGTGGGGGGAGACATCTTCCTCCAGGCTCTCCGCAGGTATTGCCATGGCCCACGGGGCTGGGGCTGGAACCTCTCGGCATCTGTCTTCCTTCTGGCCTTGCCTCTCTCGTCATTGCTGTTCACTTCTCTGCAGGCATCAGCGTCGACCAGAACAGCTGAGTGGGTGGGTGAAAAGGAACAGAAGTAGAGAAAATCAGGAAATGCTTAAATATAGCAAAAACAAAATACCCCACTGGAAAATATCCAGAAAATGACTGCAGACTCTCTCATTGGCAATGTCAGATGCTTTAGAGAATTATACATGTGTTCAATTCAGCTGTGCCAGCCCCCACTGATGGCTTGGTATACACGGATGTGGGGGATTCTTGAGCTCATTGTTCAGACACTAGAATGGCCGGGGTGGCAGTTACCCCTTCCCCAGATCATGGTGTTCCAAGGCACAAGCTCTTCTGATCTTACTGGTTTCTGAAGCAGCCAGCAGGGTAGATATTTCCTTGACTTGTTTTATGAAAAAAAAAAAAATCACTGGAGAGCTAGTGGGACTGCTGTATCACACCGATTTTCATTCTGTTTTTAATTCAGAGATTCTGGAGTGCTTGGATAAGATGGGTTTCATTTCTCATGTCATCCTGGCAAGTGTAACTTTGTGGTTTATTGCAGTTTAAAGTAGAAGAAACAGATGCAGAGAGAGCAGCCTACCCACAGAAGAGATCCAGTGGCAGACAGTAAAACTGTTTGGTCATGACTGCCCTGTGCCTGGTACTAGGCTTACAGAAGCAGAGGGAGTCATGTGGGGAGCCAGGGAAGAGAGCTGGTAAAACTCACCATCTCTTGCCTGCCTTCTTGCCTTCTGGATAATCATATTCTGACAGCAGTTTCTCATTTCTAAAGAAGAAAAGCAAAAACAAAACAAATATACACATATTTTATATCAAAGATGTTCACAAAAGTTGTTTTTCTAACTCATTGCCTAGCAATGGTACTGTACGGTACTTTTCATACTGAGTTGTAGAAAACGTGGGGATTTTTGTAGGTCATTCAAAATTCTCTAAAGAAGCCGATGACTTCAGGGGAGGGAGCGAGGGATGGAGAGGCACACTTCATCAATAAGGGTACCTGATCTCAAACCAGGTGACATGGGGACCAGAGTGAGGCCCAAACTTTACCTACACAATGACCATTTGTATACCTAACCCTGAATTGCACCCCATATCTTTAAAATGAAAGTTTTTAAAAAAGCACATGATTTAAAGGAATCTAAAAGTAAGTCTTTGTGTAAAACAAATAATCCTTCATTAAAGTATCTGTCTTCTTAGTCTTGCTTCCCAAGTAAAAATCTTCAAACTGAATTGTCTTGAAGTGCAACCTATGGAGAGACATTTGTTTATATACCCAATTCCCTTCCACAGAGTGGTCCAGGCAGTTGAATGGACAGCCTTGATTCTGAAGTGGGTACCCTTATAAAGCTGGCTAGTTCATTTGGCTCCCTAATACCTTGGTTATGACTTATTTTTTATATTTTTCTACTGAGGTACACATAGCAGTAAAGGGTGGTTCACCCTGTCACTTTTTAAGGTCAAAGGGCATTCCTAGCTGTGGGTTTAATGCATGTTGGTTTTTATTGTGATAAAAATATATATAACCTAATATTTATCCTTTTAACCATTTATAAGTATGCAATTCATTGGCATTAATTGACTATTTATAAATAAATATTCAAAATGAATATAATTACACTCATAGCATTGTTTAACCTTCCCCAACAAAATCTCTTTACCTGTCAAACATTAACAGCTTCTTCCCCCTTTCCCAACCCCTGGGAACCTCTGTTCTACTTTCTGTCTCTATGAATTAATGCACATGGCTTTTTTTCCATTCTATTATTTTCATTGTAGTAAAAAACACATAAAATTTACCACCTTAACCATTTTTTTTTTTGAGTTGGAGTCTCACTCTGTCACCCAGACTGGAGTGCAGTGGCCGCTCCCGGCCACCGCAGCCTCAACCTACTGGGCTCCGGCGATCCTTCCGCCTCAGCCTTCCAAGTAGCCGGAATTACAGGCATGCGCTACCACGCCCAGCTGATTTTTTGATTAATTGTAGAGATGAGGTCTCGCTGCCCAGCCGGGTCTCGATCCTGGGGCTCAGGCAATCCACTCACCTCAGCCTCCCAAAGGCGCAGGATTACAGGCTGAGCCACCGAACCCGGCTCTTAACCATTTTTGAGTGTACAGTTCAATAGTTTTAAGATCACATTGTGTGTGTGACAGATCTCCAAAACTCTTTCTTCTTGCAAATCGGAAACTCTGTAACCTTTAAATGACTCCCTATTCCTCCCTCATCCGAGCCCTTGGTAGCCACCACTCTGCTTTCTATTTTTATGCATTTGACTACTTTAGATACCTCTTATGAATAGAATCATATAGTACTTGCCTTTGTGTTTGACTTATTTCACTTAATATAATGTCCTCAAGATTCATCCATGTTATAGTGTGTGACAAAATTTCCTTCCATTTTTTTTTTTGAGTAGGAATCTTGCTCTGTCACCAGGTGTGAGCCATCGCTCCCAGTTGATTTCCTTCCTTTTTAAGGCTGATAATATTTCATTGTATATACGTACCACATTTTGGTTACCCATTCACCTGTTGATGGTCACTTGCACTACTCCTACCTGTGAATATGGGTATGCAAGTATCTCTTTGAGATCCTGCTTTCAATTTATATAGATATTAGAAATGGAATTGCTGGACCTATTTTTAATTTTTTGTGGAAACTTCATAGTGTTTTTCACTGTAGTTGTTCCATTTTATACTCTCACCAATAGCACACAAGAGATTTACTTTCCTCACTTCCTCACTAACAATTTTTATGTTTAATAGCCATCCTAATGGGTGTAGATGAACATTGCTTTTTAAAAAATGATTTCTTTTTCTCCTTCTCTTTCCCCTCAGCCTGGCGTGGGAAGGCAGGATTGTGGTGGTGGGATTTGCTGGAGGAAACATTGCTTCTGTGCCGGCCAACCTTCTGCTTCTGAAGAATGTCTCTGCCATGGGGCTGTACTATAGTCGATACAAAAAAGAGAACTTTTCTGTCTTCTCTAAGAGCCTGTCTTCAGCCCTTCAGTACTGCCAACAAGGGTGCATCCAGCCACATGTCGGAAAGGTTTTTAAGCTGGAGGAGGTAAGATGCTCTTAAGGGATGTGATGCAGATGAGACCAGGAAACAAACTATTTCAAACTACTGGATAATTTATCTCTGGATACTGTAAAGTGAAAAGGTAAAAATGCAACACAGATAGTGGGGTCTCACAGGCTTCGGGGTCACAGGATTTTACCCAGTCTTCTGGGTTATATGGCTATAGCCTAAGCCCAGCATGAAGTGTCTCAAACCGAGGAAAGTTATGGTACTTTAGGAAATAATTTACATGTGTTGATATGAACCTTGAACTCCACAACATACAAGCCTAAGAAGGAAGAGCTTGACTTGACCTTTGATTTTAAAATATAGAGTCTTTAAAGTACAACCAGATGATCTAAGCTGGGGTTCTGTGAACAGAACACTAAATCATGCCTGGCATCAGAAGACTATAATTCATCCATTAGTCACTGTAGTTAATTTTGTTGGCTATTCACTCCCTTGTTTTCAGCACCCCCCAGTCTCATTAACGTGGCTTAACTTCCTCCAAAGTGTAATTGTGTGCATGCATATGCAATATAGTTGTAAATGGGAATCTGTTAGGCATTCACTGTGAAGTCGTTATTATTTTGGGGGCTTAATTTGCTTTAATGTTCACAAAGCTGTTTTGGTAACTCTAGTCAGTCAGAGATGGAGGTGATATTTTGTTCAAATGCAGATTAATGGAGTCCAAGCTGTCAGTGCCAGACTTCAGTGCTTACCAGCCTTCCACTGATGTATTTTTTTCCCTGTGATGAGGCACATGCTTTTCAACACAGTTTACTTTCTTCTTTATCTTTTTGGTGTGTGAGTCAGAAAGATAGTGTACAGGGGCGAAGGGAACCTGACTGGCCACTAGGAAACTGGATGTGTGCCCGTCACAGCTTTGCCTCTGCAGCCCTGCAATTTTGTGGAAGCCCCTCACCTTCTGACCTCATTTTTCATGTCTAAATTTAAGGGACAGGCCATTACCAGGGGCTTTCAGACTCTGCTTCCTGAGGCATCGTAGGGATGGAGGGGAGAGGTAGGCTGGTGTAGATTGAGCTGCCTGGGCTCTGGGATCCCATCTCTCCTGTGGTCTGAGTATCTGCACATTTTTACTTTTTTGTTCATACTTTTCTTTTAAGAAAATATCTTGTGGCTTGAAAACTCTCAGTTTAGATGATTTCTGGGCCCCTTCCATCTTGTGGCTTTTATCTTGTAACTCCTAATCTGAGGTTTGCTTTACCCGAGGCTATACCTGTTGATAAAGGATAATGAGATCAGGCAGTACAGAAGTAGAAACAAGCGTTAGCTGGAATGGTCTCTTCTCTCTTGATGGCGTCTGGGTGCTGTTTAGGCATAAAAGGCGGCCGGGGTGGATTATCGCTTAAATTATCCCCATTGCAGTCCTCTCTCCTTGAAACATGAACTGACTGTGTAATTACCAACTGCCTGTCAGCCTCCCAGGGAAGACTCTGCACGTGGGGTGTTAATGTTGCTCTCACTCCACTGACCTTGGTGTTTTCTGGTGGCTCTTCAGGCCTTGCTTTTGAACACATCTCATTCATTCACCATTTCTTCTCTTTCTGTTTCTTTCACTATGCAAGCCACTAGGAGAATAATACTTTTTTCTTTTTTAAGAATGCGGGATTTATGGAGAGGACAGAAAGGCTCCCAGAACAGGAGGGGACCTGAGGGGATTGCCGAAGATAATAATGTTAATGACAGCTTGCATATATCAGGTGGTTACTGTGGGGTCAAGAACTATGCTGAACCCTTCCATGCTTTATCTCCTTTAACCTTCATGGCAGTCCTTTGAGGTATGAATCACTTTATCACATTTTACAGATGAGGAAATCCAGACTTGTAGAGGCTAGGAACCTTGCCCAGGGACAGGTAGGAAGTACAGCCAGTCCAGGTCTGCCTGATGCCAGCCTCTGGGCTCCTTATGACTGAGTCAAACTCTCTCCTCAAGCAAGCCAAGAAATCACTTCTTAGAACCTTGTTCTGTAGTATGAAGTTCATCCGTCTAGCATAGAATTGTCTGTGTAAAAGAACTATCTCATAGCTAAAGTCACCAGAAGTCACATTTTCGTGAGTAGTGTCAGAATTTATATATTTTGTTCTTTTCAAATGAAGATGGTCAAATAAGTATATAATTTATTTCATTGAACTTTAAAGCCAGGGTAATATTTTTTCATGTAAATTAGTTAATGTACTAGAAAAAAGTTATTAGAACCTGTTTGGTCTTGGAAAATGACCACTGTACTTATACTAATATATATATATATATATATATATATATATACATATATATATATATACTAACACACACATAGTATCAGAAATCCTGATGCTTTCTAGCTTGAACTTCCTACTGACTACATATACTTCTAGATTTGACCTTGATAGTTGATGTTAACATGACTGTCAACTTCACACCATAGCATTTTGAGTAGGTGTGGGGTGTGAGCTTTCACGGCACTCTGCTTCTCCTTTATGCACTTGTAATTGCTTGCTCAGTGTTTGTCTTTCCCACAGAGCATAAGCTCCATGCAGGCAGGGACCACATGCTGTCTGCACCTTTGTGTCTTCAGCTTCTGACAGGCTTACATGACTCACTCTTTTTAGGTACGGTTTTCCAAGTTTTGACAAACCTATACAGCATATAGCCATCCCACCACAACCAAGATGTAAGAACGTTTCCATCATGCCAAAAAGTTCCCTTGTGCCTCTTTGAGTTGGGAGTCTCCCTTGTCACCCAGGCTAGAGCGCAGTGGCATGATCACAGCTCATTGCAACCTCAACCTCCTGGGCTCAGGTGATCTTTCCACCTCAGCCTCCTGAGTAGTTGGTATTTCAGGTGTGTGCCACCATGCCTGGCTAATTTTTTGAAAAATTTTTTTTTTTTTCTGTAGAGGCAAGGTTTTGCTATGTTGCCCAGGCTGGTCTCAAACTTCTAGGCTCAAGCAATCCTCCCGCTTTGGCCTTCCAAAGTGCTGGGATTAGCTGGGCTCGGTGGCTCAGCCTGTAATCCCAGCACTTTGGGAGGCTGAGGCAAGTGGATTGCCTGAGCCCGCAGGTTCAAGACCAGCCTGGGTGACTTGGTGAGACCACGTCTCTACAATAAAAAATCAAAACTTAGCTGGGCGGTAGCGTGCTCCTGTAGTTCCAGCCACTTGGAAGGCTGAGGTGGAAGGATCGCTGGAGCCCAGCAGGTCGACACTGGGATGGCTATGAGCATACCACTGCACTCCAGCCTGGGCAATGGAGTGAGACTCCGACTCAAAAACAACAACAACAAAAAACAAAGTGCTGGGATTACAGGAGTGGGCTGCCGCACCCAGCCATTGTTTCTTTTTCAATGATACCCAGATCAATGATACCCACATAATATCTTTAGGTAATCAATCTTCTTTTCCTGCTCCACAGCCCCTGGCAACCACTGATCTATTTTTGCTCCCTATAATTTTTCCTTTCCCAAAATGTCATATAAATGAAATGGCACAGTGCTTAGCCTTTCTAGTTTGACTTCTTTTACTTTGCTTGTTGCTTCTGAGGTTCATCCTTTTTGTTGCATGTATCAGTAGTCCATTCCTTTTTATTGCCGAATAGTATTTCATTGTATGGATATACCACAATTTCTTTTCATTTACCAGCTAATAGACACTTGAATGTTTTCAATTTTGGGCGATTGTGAATTATGTACAGGTTTTTCTGTAGTCATATTGTTTTACTTATTTTAGGACTGAGATTTCTGGGTCATATGCTAGATGTGTGTTTAACGTTAAAAAAATTTGCACAGATGTTTAATGGCTTCACTTCTCCCATCCCCAACCTCCAGTGATACCCAGATAACATCGTTAGGTAAGAATGATACTAGCACCTAATCAACAAGAGTACCTGCATAGTGAACATTTGTATACCTAACCCTGAATTGTACCCTACATCTTTAAAATAAAAAAAAAGATGATATTAGGCCATAATTCGTAGGTGCTTCTGAAGGTTGACTTTAAAAGAAATCTATGCAGAATCCTAAAAATAACAGCTGTTGGTGCTCCTCTGAAAGGGCAAACTTGATTATGTCAATAGCTCTTTCTTTCTGCCTCAGTTATTCAGAAGCAATTGTGTTTTGATCTGTACGTTCCATGATTTTGAAGACAAGACCACTATTACTGTGTTCCTCTCTAAGTCCATCCAGAGCACACAGGTTTTCTATTTCTTTTGGTGTATTCTGGATTAAAAACTGGTGCTCCAGCATACAGATGTGCCCAAAGTCCAGCTGTCTGTTTTAGCATTTTGGGATTTTGCTTGTACTGATTTGATACTAGCTATTTTTTTTTTTGGTTCAGGGTCTCACTTTGTCATCCAAGCTGGAGTGCAGGGGCAAGATCCTGGCTCACTACAGCCTTGATTTCCTATGCTCAGGCAACCCTCCCACCTCAGTCTCTCCTGAGTAGCTGGGACTATAGGTGTGTGACACCATGCCCAGCTACTTTTTTGATCTTTTGTAGAGACAAGGGCTTGCTTTGTTGCCCAGGCTGGTCTCGAACTCCTGGGCTCTAGCGATTCTCCAAGGCCTCTCAAAGTGCTGGGATTATAGGCGTGAGCTATCGCACCTGGCCCTGTTTAACTTTTATTCAACTGCCAAACTGTTTTCCGAAGTCATTGTACCATTTTGCATTCCTGCCAACAATGTATGAGTTCCAGTTTCTCTGCATCTGCCAGACCTTAGTCTTGTTAGTTATTTTCTTTAATTTCAGCTATTTCATTAGATGTGTAGTGATATCTTAGATTCAGGCCAATTTGTATCAGAGCAACGATGTAATGACTATAATTCAGCTATAACAGTGTATTGATAACCAAAAGTGTTTATCTTCTGAAGACAATCCCAGTCATCTTAGGTATATGTATTCATTCATTAATTTATTTTATTCAGCAAGCATTCACTGTATTTCAGACAATAAGATGTAAGACATAGTTCTGCCCTTAAGGAGTTTGTTAATTGGGAAGATCTCAGGCCAGAGC